ACGTTTCTGATAAGGAGATTTTCATCCACCTTTTTTGTCAGCATACAATGAGCGTTATGCTTGCACACAGGTAGCTGGGCTGTACCTAGGGTAATGGTTTTATTTGGTGGATTGGAATTTGCCTAAAAAGGTAGTACGGTTTAATAAGAAATATAAAATAAGATCCTTATAATAAACATTAAATAAGATCTGACTTGAGTAGTCAACAGGTGTCTAGCAGCATGGATTATTATTGCACATTGTCCAGCAGAAAACCGTATATTGCACATATTAGTAAACAGTGTATTTCCCATTGCACAGGTTATCATGCTGAGGTGATCTCAGAGTTCAGTAGCTTTGTGGCACTTTGGAAGAATCTGCTTAACTGTCTACCCATTGTTGTCTTTACAGGTGCCAGAGGAGCTGATTGCAGAACCCTCCGGATGTGATTTGCTGTGTCCAGCTCTTCAGGAGATAACGGCTCTAGCTTCCAGCTCCTGCTTTGCGCAGCCTTTTCTTTTTACTCACAACACCTGAACACCACTGATGTGAAATTATCATTATTATCAACAGATTCTATTATTATAATAACTCTTGGAACACATTCATTCAAGTCATACAAAACTACTTTTACATTTGTAACCTTTTAATATTGATGTTTTCATGAATGCAAGACAAGACTTTAATTTGTTAAACTATTGCTTGTGTATCTAAACTCAACAATATATTATAGTTAACAGCTGTAAATTAAAATATTAAGATGGTATTTATAGGTTAAAATTTTGCATATATGTTAGAATAAAGTAAAAAATGAAAGATTGGTGCTATATACTGTTTTATTTTGACATTTCTTTGAGAGACAAATGTGATATTGACTGAGAAGTTACTCTTTTGTGAAAAACAAAGAAATTCTGAACTCCTGTCTCACACTAATCTTTTGATCTTGAACCCAAATGTCTTCAGTGAACAACAAAAACAAAAGAATTTGGCTTACCATTCCAATACTTTTGGAGAGGACTGTTTCTGCACACTGAATAGTTTTGAAGCCCTGCACGAGGTGTCATTTATTCCGACCTCTTAGAAGTTCTTGTGTGGTTTACATTGTATAGATGCACCTATTTACTACATGTGCATTTGATCTAAGTCTCTCTCTGAGTTTGCAACGTTACAATAAATACCACCTAATGGTATTCATAATTACTCTGTGCAGATCATTCTTTGTTTCAGCACTTACCCACAGGATGGTTTGGATGTGCCCACATTATTCTGTGTTTAAACTAGACTTATATCAGAGCAGCAAACTTCAGGCTTTGTTACTGGGTGTATGGCTCCAGTAGGTATGCTGTATGAGGTATACTATTAGCTTTTCAGTAAGCAGTAAAGACAGGGAGTGCTAATATATATATAAAATTCATTACAATGTGAACCATAAACCATATCCTTTTTTTTTAAATTAACCTATAACACAAATATGGACAATTGTGATGGGGTAGGGGGTTCCTGTGTCTCAAGGTCTGCCATTTACACCATCATGATGGATGATAGCTTTCCAACCACAGCCAAAATAAAAACTAAGCCCAATGGTGGACTGTATCGAGATAGTACTGTACTTAAGGTATTAGCGCTGAACTTCAGTATTTATTTTTCATGCCACTTTCTACTACTCCACCACATCTCAAAAGGATATTGTACTTTTTACTTTATCTGACAGCTTCAATTACTTTAAAAAAATAAGCTTTTTACACACAAAACGTATTCAGAGTTTAAAAAATAGGATGTTTTGATATAAATTAAATTACTTAACAGTTTGCAGTCCATCTAGTAGAACTACACCACTAAGGCTAATTGACAGAAATTTAACTGGCAACTGTTTTAGTATTAATCATTTGATAACACAAATATGGACAATATTTAAAACCCAAAGTAAACAGAAGGAGAGAACGCCTTTCCACATCTAACCCTATGAAATTTAATACAAACTTCACTGCCGTATAATGGAAAATCTGTATGGATTTTAAGCCCGAGAAAACTATTTAGAAAGTTACGTGAATTTTATAAAATATTTTATTATAATACATTCATATTTTACACACTATAGCTTTTCGGGGTGTGTTTGTACTTTGATAAGATAAAATTAATCAAGGACATCACTTTGTGTTGAAAAGTGGGGGTCCCCTAGAAAGTCCTAAACACTTAATTTCCTGCATTCCTCAGCCTAAACCGCCAACTTGTCCATATCTCTGGCTTTCTGAATTTCAGAAACGAGCTAGCGTTAGCTTGTTAGTAACACATCAGAGAAGTTTTCTTTTCTTTTCTGATAACTGACTGATACGCGCCAGAGCACGCAGTCCAGAGCGTAAAGCTAAACACTGACATAAACAGGAATGTTATCTGTACTGCCGTATAACATCAGAGTCACACCAAACGGAGTATATTATTAAGTCTCACACACACAAAGTATTCATTTATGACGTTATGGCATTAATTAAATCCTACAAAAGGACAAGAAAAAATTTCCTGTAGCTAAGACTAGTAACGTTATTTCAGACTCTAAGTTTAAGCTTTTGTTACCGGCGCCAGACCTAGGGGTAATCTGGACCGGCAGCAAAGGTTACACAGGCTAGGGAGCACTGTATAACCACTGTGGATTAACAGAGAGATGGACCAAAGTTAGTGTCTTGCGCAAGCCAGAGCTCGTTTATTTCTGAGCTGCGCATGAGCGGAGCTTGTAGCTGCAGCCTCCCTACTTGATCCACAGCGGTACCAGACCACCATCTACTGACGAATAAGTGCGTTACCTTTATGTTGTAACTTAGTGTATTAGGATAGCTCAATTATAAATAAAAAATGGGGGGTGTCTGTTAACATAAAACTAAACATGTAGCATTTCCAACCTACTAAGCGTGGAGGCATCAGAACCTCAACAGGAATATTGTGACAAATATAAAAAGTACCTTTCTCTCTCAAGTCCCAGTTTTCAGTCATGTGACATGCGCGGGGACCTGGAGGGCAAAACAACAGACCAGCATAGCAGCTCACACTGTGAAACCCCCAAAGAGACGCCACAAAAGCAGTCTTTTCATCTTTCATCCATCCATCCATCGTCAACCGCTTGTCCTGCGTATAGGGTAACGGGGGGCTGGAGCCAATTCCAGCTTACATCGGGCGAAAGGCGGGGTACACCCTGGACAGGTTGCCAGTCCATCGCAGTGTATCATCTTTCAACTTAAGAAAAGATATGAACACAAACTGCAAGTGTTGGGCAAATCCGATCGATATAACGTTACAGCATCCGCTGCCACATTTCTACTGTTTAAAAACCGCCAGGGCCCTGCTGCTGCTCAACTGCTGCATGTTTACGTTTACCTTATGGGAATCCCTCACCTAACATAGCCCAAGCTTCTCTCCTCCTCGATTAGTGCATCCGAAAGCAAAACAACCATCTAGCATGTCCAGCAACTCAAAGTAACAGTGTATCACTTGCTTATTGGTTGGCAGGCAGCGGAAAATAACGTCTTTTTGTCCTCCATAGGAGCGTTTGTGAAAACAGCATGTGAAAACTATGAATTCCAGACAATACGCTCACACAGTCCTGCCCACAGCAGCTTCGTAACGCAAAATAGCGGTGTGGGGAATTCATTAATGTGATAACAGCCATGGCTAACGTTTTACAACCTAATTAGCTTCCATCATGTAACTAAGGACTCTACCGCTAGCTTATTAATACAAGTAACATCAGGTGACCAAATACACGACTCGTAAGTACCGTTATGTAAAAGCGTTAATCGATTTGCTTCAAATTGTTCGTTTGAGATGTAAGTAAACGTAAACGTAATTAATAACTGATTCATAGTTAACTGTTAACGTTGGTCTCAAAAAAATCTAACGCTAGTGTTGCAAAACACGTTACCACATTTATATATTAAAAAGCATTTAAAACCATGTGAAGTATAATGTCAATAACAGATGAGTCTGTGACTTAATTTAATATTTTCCGGTGTCTTACCTTGACTGTGAGCTGGTAACAAGCTGGTGAGCTGGTTACCTCTGCTAACGCAGAATAGCATATAGCATTAGCTCATTAGCCTGAGCTAACTCGGTCACGTCGAGCTAGGCGGGAGTGCTTTCAGCAACACATCCCCTCAGCTCCACCCACGACCCTCTTGGCCTCTTTGCCCATTTTTGGTTAACCGGGAGTGATACGCGGTGACGCGCTGCCAAGATGGCGGCGGCTAGTTCCGCCAATTTTGAGCGACAAAACGGCTCTTCAGAAATCAACGGGTGACATCACGGACGCTACGTCCATTTTTACACAGAGCTAGCGGAGTGTAGATTACACAAATTGACCATAACTACGGCCGTTACTGGAAATAAGTGCAGCAAAAACATCAATACTAGTAAAAGGCTGGTACGGCATCAGTGCAACAAGCAGGAACGTGCACCTAGCGATATTTTAATCTGCTCTGTCTCATCCACCGCAGCTGTGTTTTGGTTTTACACAAGCACATGTGCTAGCTCAGCTAATACCTAGTTTGTTATAAACAAGCTAAATCTCTCTGTCATCTGCCTGTTTAGCTGAGATGCTATGTACCTTAAAATTTAACAACTCCTTGCAAACTCAGCTGCTTGAGAGACAGCAGCAGCAAAGGGAGGAGGAGGACTGAAACTGACAGTCTTCTTTCTTAAATTCACTCAGTATTTTGATGTCAGGAATTTGGTTTATTTTACATATTCCATTTGTTTCCAGTGAGATACTGATTTCATATTGTTACTTTGCTGCTGTAAACTTTACTTTTGTTGCTGCTCTGAAAACGGTTAGTTATAATAAAACATTACATTTTATTACTGTTCTTTTTTAAATAACGCATTTTTAAAATGCATTTATTTAGTAATGAAAACCCAATAAGATTAAAGAGAAAGAACAAAACCAATAAATAGTATCAATAAAATCCAAAGAATCGGTTACTAATAATTGGGATCGGGATTGGCCCGGAAAAAAACAATCCCTAACACTTTCTGACCGCTGTGAATATAAGAACATTTTATTTAAAGGGATGAAACAAGCCTGTAAAATCTGTTCTTGGGTTTTAGTATCTGATGACCTGAGTCTGAGGTCCAGCTCGGTGTGCACAGATACAACTTGTCCTGTAAGTGAGGAGCTGAGTGTATTCAGAGGTGAGTGAGAAGTCATTACTGTGAATAATGACTCGCTGAAGGCGTTTGTGGCCTTCGCCTTATTAGAGCACCGATGATGACACCTCCAGCGGAGAGAACAGAGAGGAGCGACGGAGGGCAGAGGAAGACCAGGATCCAATTACCAACAGCGCTGAAAGCTCTCTGTGGGCGAGCAGACTTTTCTCCAGGCTCATGGAAGGTTTTTGTCATCAAGGTCAGGCGGTGGCGAACAGCTCTGAGACTGATTTTCAGGTCAGGGAGGGTAAAAAAGATCTGTATGTTTCATCTCTGTTGGAGGTCAGAAATGACATCCTGGCACTGGATACATACATGTAATCCTTTTAAAAGCAAGCCAGCTGTTGTGACCTTTGAGCTTGTCTGCTTGCGTGAGATTGACTACAAGAAGAAGAAGAAGAAAGAAGAGAGAGAGAGAGTGGGACAGAGAGAGATAAAGAGGTTATCCTGGAAAAAAACACATTGCACACTCCCCTCCTTTTAAAACTCGGTCTTCAATTATAGGCACCTTAATCTTTGAATTAGGTCTTTCAAGTTGCACTAATCATTATTTTTCATACTTACCCTGAATTAATTGACTAATTAGCAGCTCTACGGTGTTGAACACTGGAAAGAAGTCACAACATTTCACAAATCGTGATTCTATCGTTTGGATTCTCACATCTACTGTTACCACTCATATGACACAACTGTCATCCTGTTTCTCACTGTTAGCAGAGACTCCAGTCTGCAGAGTAGTTCATACAAGTTACTGTTAAACCAAAAAAAATACACTGAATAATTACTAGACGAAAGTTACGTTTTAGTCGTTAGTCGTTAATTAATTTCCATTGCTGGTAGCAAAGCCAGTTCACCAAAACTTGGCAGCCTACAGGTCCAACTCTGGTAGGAGGAGGAGGGTCATGAAGGTTGGTCAGCTGATGTGCGTTAATCAAAACTCGTTCCTCACTTGACCTGAAAATTGATCTATAACATAAGCCTCATTTACTCTTTTCATTTCAACTGTCTAGCATCTGAATAAAATCTAAATGAGATTTGAGACACTTTCATTCACACTTAACCACGTATACTTGTCTCTGTTGGCTAGATCACAAATCTGATTAAAATTCACTTTGTTTTCCCTGGGTACATGCAACTCGGGGTCATCCCTCCTCCAGGCCAGAAGCAGGTGGTACTGCATTTGAAGCTGTTTGGTGACACCATCAGATGAATAAGCAAATATTCCTTGTTGCTGTAACTTTAGTTTCTGTTTTCAAAAGGACAGAGGAGACAGTGGTAGTGTGAAGGAAATCGGACAGTGAGTGAGTATCCCCAAACTGCTTACCATCATTATGGGCGCAGTAATGATGACAAATGCATCTTTTAGAGACAGATGCATTAAACATCTGGCTAGAATGCTTCTCAAACCAGCTCTTTCTTGAATGCTTCTTGGATGCATTTACATATTTTGAGAGTAGAATAGCATGCTGATGTGCCCAAGACACGTGACGCGTGAGTTTAAATGGGGTAAATGATTAGCAGAATAAAATGTGTAATCAGCAACAATCTGTAGTTTTTAAATGCACTGTGACCACTGACATCTTTAGTAATGGAAACCCTCACAAATAATTTGCTTTAGCTACTCTACAGCTTCATCAGTGACATTGTCAACGTCGTAAAAGACAAATCCTATATCTGCAGCTGGTTTCTGTGTGTTGGTTTCAGCTTATCTCTGAGCAGCCAATATGAATCTTATGATTTGGTGTCCCCAGAAAACAAAATACATGTTTTATTCACGACTCATGTCAGTTTCCGCCTTTGAAGAAAACGATTTCATCAGTAATGGGACAAAACACAGCACGCTCAAGGAGAAAAAAGAGCAACAAAAAATCTAATTCTGCTTCCTTGAAACAGCCTTTTTTTATTTGAGTCACTTCTTTCTTTCCCTTTCCTCCATTTGGTGAAGGAATGAGACGGTTTAATACATTATTATTATTATTACCGCTGCAGAGAGATAAGGTCACTGTGTTAAAAAGTTCTTTAACCTGCCAGAAGAACAGAAGTGATGATAATATAAGGTGAATTTAATTTGGTTTTATCACCAGCCGTTATCTCTTTTCTCACTGTTATATATATCTTTTTAGATTTTGAAGTTTCAATGATTATTAAAACACTTTTTACGTCTTAAATTATCTTTTTAAATTACAGTCAAAGTTTGAAAAGCCCTTATATGATGTTCAGACTGTAACTACGAGCTGCCAAGTGGAAAATCATGTTCACAAGCAGCCCCTGACTAGTAATTTTCTGATATTTCTTCCAGTTTCAATCTCATCCCATTTGGTGAGAGATCATATTTTCCTTAAATCACTCAGCCCTAATTTAGGAGAGGCGATTTGGGTTCATTCTTGTATTTCATGTACTCACAGTTGTTTATTTTATGTCCTCAGCATATCAACTGGGTTTCGGTCTGATGTTGTGAAGCAGAACCTCCTCATAAGCATCCCGTCGCTTCGTTCAAACAGCTTCAGGCAGACTGGCGGTGAATCTCCGGTGTTAACTGAAGTCTGCTGAGTGTTTCCTCCACAGACGAACGCAGCTCTGCGTGAATATGAAGTGGAAAAGAAGACTCACTGATGTCTTAAAGAGCAGTTTTCTGTCAGAGAGGAAGAGGCAGCAGTGTGAGAGGAGATGCTCAGCAGGAGGTGAGCGACTCTCCCGAGAAGGAAAAATATCTTCACTTCAGAAACAAAGAGAAGAACTCAGCATGTTAAACTCAGGTGTGTAATACGACACTGTGGCAGAGGACTCGGAGGTCGTCTGGTGCAGAGCAGTGCTGGGATCTAGTAGAGGGGCAGGTTTGGTTATTAGAAATATTAATGAAGTTAGTACATAAGTTAGTTATTTAAAGTAATAAAATAAAAAATTATTAATAAAGATTGAAAAAATACAGGGAATGCCTGGGATCAGAGACCGATAACCAAATAAGTTGGCCCACTTTAAAATGCCAATATTTAGAGGGGTGAAGAGCGAGGAAAATGGTGGACTTAACCATGCGGGTGGCCCGTCACGCAATCATCCAAAATGGCGGGCAGGCCTGCAGAGCTTAAAAATGGTGTGTGAAAATGGTGGATAGACTCAACCAGTCCTCATCAAAATGGTGTGGAACACAGCTGGAGTTTAGGCTACACTCTGTGGGTCCCAGATGTATATGTGTGTGGATGCTCATGTAGCGTGTGTTTGTGTGTAGGTTAGTACAGGAAGAGAAAAAGGCATACAGAGCAAGGTATAAGATCCAGTACCCAGCAGTGAGCTTGTGTACATTCAGCGGTGGTCCTGGACTTTGGACTCTGCACACAGTGGCAGGAGCTAACACAGGTAAAAATTCACAAATCCTAATTACTCCGGTAAAACACGGTAACTGCCACTTTATCACACATGAACTGGCAGTAAACTTGCATTCAGCAGTAGTGTTGCCAGACTTTGGTCCAGACAAAGTGCCGTTTTTGGCTTCACACAGTGTCAGTAATAGGATAGTGTGTAGCCAAGTTGCACTTTTGTGTTGGAATATGAAAGTTCAAAGTAAATGGCTGTCTGACTACAAGGTAAAGTGCTGAAAATATTCTAAATATAGTTTATATTTGAACTGATGATTTTTTCAGTGGGAATTCTTTTAGGTGGCTAAAACATTTTTGTATGTGCAGTGCATTGCTTTTTTGCCAGTACAACTTTCTGCTTCTCCAAACTGGGGTCGTGCTGACTGCCCTCTACAGGTAAAACACTGACAATAGATTAGTACCTCATACAGACCAAGCGGGAAGCTTCCGGTCTGAGAACCGAATCCAGTGCGGAAGTCCCGTCAGCAGCGACGACTCTTCTGGTTGCAAAAAGAAGTCCGGTTCCATTAAAAATAATGATAAAATGACCCTACTTCTCAACTGAATAATTACCTTAGTAAACACTTTCATAATGAGTTTATGGTCTTAGTCGATAGTTTCAAGTCTTCTTTAATACAACATGATGTTCATTTAGTAAATTATGGTCTCATTTATTGGAAAATAGACCAGAAAGCAAAGGATGCTTCAGGGCGGGATTATATATGATTGACAAGTCGTTAACATGGTGACCAATTACTCAGGCTAGAAGCGACTCATATCCTCAGCACTGTGTAAATTTAACCAGCGCCGCTGAAAAAGCTTATTAGGAGTTGGCTGTTCACTTTCTCTGGTGAGTACATTTAGTTTTAAGACTGTTGTTCACTAGACAAAGTTGTCAGCCCTGTTAAAATGACAGTTAAGGTGAATTACAGACCTAGCTAAGCAAGCTAGCTAGCTCCACAAACGGCCGTTAGCTCCACCGTCTCGTCCAAATATGGTCACGTCCGGTGCAGCTGGTTGCAAAAACTCAACATGGCGGCGCCCTATCGGCCAGACTCGAGGCTTCAAAACCGCAGTCCACAAACCAACAGGTGACGTCACGATGACTACGTCCACTACTTATTTACAGTCTATGATACAGACCCACATCAAAATTACCATGCTATCCCTTTAAATTACATCCTTCATATACATCATGATTTATTCACTAAGTCTGCTTTCACTGTAGTTTGTTGCATTTTGCTTTTATCAATATACCAACTTTTCAATCTCTGTCAAGTGAAAAACTTGTTTCAGCAGTCATCACTTTTTTTCTCTTTGGTCTGGTATTTATAATATAATATTATCTGGTGTTTTAGGCTTGATTTTATTTGATAGTCTCTGGTATCTTAGCCCTGGTTTTGTCCAATACTATTATATTATTGTCTTTGCATTGTGAAAGCACTTGGTAACATGTTTTTTTATTATTATTATGTGGTATTTTAGGCTTTAGTTTGATCCAAAATAATATTCTCTTCTTTCCCCAATTCACCCAACACACTGACTGTCCTTCTATCCATCGATTGATCAATATCTTTCTCCCCCCTCATCCTCTTCTCTCTGACCCTTCTTCATTTGCAGCACTTGATCTTTGACCTCTGTATGGATCCAGCCCTCATCAGTTTGCTTTGTCCTCACAGAGAGCCTGTTTTGTTCTCTGGCACCAGCAAACATCAGCAGCTCTAATAGAGGTCAACAGTTAATGGGATCAGGAGCTCATCAGAAGTATCAGATTAACTGTGGGGATATTGATTACTGCAGATTTGATTGGCTGTTAAAACACACATGGAGAAAACATAGACACACAGCTGACTGTTTGTCTCTGGGGACAAATGAACTTAAAAATATCAATAACTGTTCAGTTTGTCCTGGATTAACTTTCCCGGTCACTCTGATCAATATCTAAAGATGGTAAGAGGTGCTAAACTGAACTGAGCCTGGTGCCACAGAGACACCAGTGGTTATATTTGTACCTAACTTTTAATTTCGGAGTACAGTAATTCAGTGTAAAGTGAAAAAACCTGCTGCAGGCTTTGTGGTCTCCAAGCCCACGCTGAAGACATTACCATGGCATCATTAGGGTTATTTTAACTTGAAAAGCTCCTCCAGAGCTACAGAAGACTTTATACATTGGTTTTCACAGGCTAAAGAACTCAGATGACACGTCAATAGGTGGCTGAGACGCAACATCAATGTGTTTACATGCACTAAGTTACCAGGTTATAACCTGGTCTGGACATAGCGATAAAACTGCAGGTTGAAATCCTGCAGTTTAATGCTTTATTTATGCTATGCTATTTCCACTGATCAGGTGGAAAATAGGTGGCGTTTCCATTGAATTTGATTTCTGCAACACCTGTGGAGGATGAATGCAGGGTGTGCTGCTCTTCGTGTTCAAGCGTCTCATTTTCTCACATCGTTGCTCCTGATTTGCGACACCTTGTAGGTTCACGGCGGCATCTCTAACATACAGAGTGTGTTTAATCATGCAGCCTTTTCTGCTTCACATCACAGTGAACAACACGGAGGAGGTCTGACTTTTTCATTTGACACTTTAAGTAAATTTGCAGATTATACTTACATACTTTTACTTGAGTAAGATTTTGAAAGCAAGAGTTTTTGACAGTGTAGTATTTAGTACTTGTACTTAATTAAAGGATCCGAATACATCTTCCACAACTGACCTGTTACCTGATTAAAGACATCCTGAGTTTCTAAGTCTCTGAACTCAGGTCCTAACTTACAGTTATGTTTCTTCCAAAATATATTAGCTGGTGGTAAATGTGATGCATTTAAAATCACATTTCTACTTTAATGGAAAAGGCACTTTCCATGATTTCTCAGTGATGTTGATACTGAAGTGAATCTAATCAGTCACCGTGTCTGTACATTTCATCTCCGTCTGTCTCAGACCGAGCAGCTTTTCTCCCAAACTCATCCTCATTAGTGCTTCGTACTGGAGTCCCATTGGCAAGGTCACCGTTGCCCCGGTAACGCTTTGCTAGCAGGACGATGCTGAGAATAATGATGAGGCCTATCAGAGCGACATCAGCGGCATCGGGAGATAAAAAAATGCACTGAGAGAAAAAAACAACTTTATCAAGAAGATTACAGCCCGAAGGAGAGAGGACGAGAGTTTGTGGGGGAGGGGGGGGGGGGGTGTCAGTGTGTTCAGGTCCAGGTCCTGTTCTGTCACTATCAGCAGTTTGAGTCTGGACTTTGTTACATGTCACATTTCGTGTCTCTCTGCACACTGAGGTTGCACAGAGTTGGTCAGTCTCCACGGACAGGCGTGTGATCACTGTTTCTTTCCCGTCTTCAGTCAACATTGGCTTCTCTTTAACCATCACATGGTTATAAGGAGGGAAATGACAGTTGGAGGACTTTTTGTCAGTTTGTACTTGCAATAAATTTAATGAAACTGAAAACTCCCATCCCTCCAGGACATCTACAGCACCCACCTAGCCCGCAAAGCTGTCAGCATTGTGGGAGCCCACATCCACCCCTCACACAGCCTTGTCAGTTTCTTGCCATCTGGGAGAAGGTATTGGTGACTCTGTGCCCGCTCCACCAGACTGAGGAACAGTACCATCCATCAGGCTGTAAGGATGCTGAACACTTTCCCCTCTTTCCCTCCCCTCTTCCCTAAACATCTAAACTGCAACCCCCACCCACCCACCCATATCCAGCACAAGTCACCTTAGCCACCTTACTACAAAGTAATAACTTAAAATAATAATAACTGCTGTTATCCAACCTTGCTCTGTGGATACTCACATGGATAGTTTTGCACAGTACTGCACAATATTTGCACTGTTGCACTGAAAAAATATATTTATTTATTTATATTAGACTTAACTGTTGCTTGATTGTAAATAATTAGTGTAACTGTTATTAGTAAATTAGTTGTTAATTATTGTTTTTGTTATTTGTTTTGTCTTACATTCGCCGTGTGTCGTGAAGAAATGCAGACAAACATCAAATCAGGCTGACTCAGTGATCCAGTTCATGTACAGGCTGTAGGTCTTTGAGGTTCATCTTTGCAGCTCCTCTGTGTCCCTGATTTCTGTCAGACGTGTGTCGATTGATTCATTATTGATCAGTCAGATTCAGGTAGGCTGGCTCTCTGTAAAGTGCTTTGAAACATATTCCTTCAGGCTGTATTAATCAACAGCTTTAAGACAAAGAATATGAAAGTCATACAACTCTCTTTTTTAATTGCTATATCTCAGTGGTTGTCCATATCTCTTTGTGTTCATTTTGCGTCTCTTAGTGGTTGTTCTGTGCACATCGTGGTCATTTTGTTTTCTATTATGATTCTTTTTGTGGCTGTTTTGGGTCTCTTTTTATTATTTTTTAGTGATTGTTTTGATTATATTTGTTCTCTTTCTTTGCACCTCTTTGTAGATATTTTGGATCTTGTCATTCTTGGTATCTTTGTAAATGTTTTGCATCTCTTTGCAGTGTGTCTCTTTGTGGTCATTTTGTGTTTCTTTGTGGTCATTTTGTGTCTCTCTAGATATTTTGGATCTT